AAGAATAAAAAATGGGGATGCGAGAGAGAACTTGATCCACCCAAAAAGATCGAAAGACAAGAAGGGTGAAACAATCCTCAAAAGAGAGCCTAAGATCCTTGAATCAATCTAAAAATGATATCATTTTCTCAAATTTTGTATGATTGGATCAAGCCCAGAAGGGTATCCTTTCCAAATGACAATTTTATGAATTTTCAAACCCTTCATGAATTCAATTTATATCAAATTCACGTTTTCTCAAAATAAAGTTTAAAGAATTTTTCATATGTCACAAAGCCAAAGAGAGTAATCCATAAGAAGCAACTTTCTCCTTTTCCAAAAGCTATGCCAATATCAAATTCATTCAATTCCATCTTTAATCAAAAGCTTTTTATGTCGGATAAACCATAAAATTACTTATATGAATGTTTTCAGCCATGAACAACAGAGAATCAGTCAAACATGACAAAGGGAACCAACTAGGATGTCCACGGATAAAGGTAGCAGACAAAAGCCACCAAACCAATCTCACGGCAAAGACAGCAAACCAAAGCCACCACCCTCACAGCAAAGATAGCAGACCAAAGCCACCAAAATTAGCTTCACAGCAAAGGGGAAAGCCACCATAAGTAATGTCATTGCATTGTATTTGATATACATAAGAGAGTGAATGGACAAGCTATTATACATCATTAAGATCGAACCCATTTTCATCACACAAGACATGATAATAAGTTAATTTACTTGTACCAAACATCACCACATATAGATAGATATCGAAATCGTGAATTTTTGGATGACAAACTTGATTACCAATAAAAATCTCAAGAGGAGGCATTAAAGAGGAGGCCTCAATCAAACCATGTCCAACAAAGGTGTCAAACCGAGCCCAAGGAATGGTCCTAAAGTGTAAGAGATTTCAACCAACATAAATCACCAAAAAGGAGTTCAACCGAGCCCAAGGAAGGGGCAAACCGAACTCAGCATAGGGGACAAACCGAGTCCAAACAGTAAGGGATTTCAGCCAACATAAATCACCAAAAGGAGCTCAAACTGAGCCCAAGGAAGGGGCAAACCGAACCCAGCATAGGGGGCAAACCAAGCTCAATACATGATACAAACCGAGTCCAGACAAGAGTGAAACCAAGCCCATCAAATGGGTTTAAAAAATAGTGTAAAATTTCTGCTAACTCTAGCCTAGAAGAAGCCCAAATCGAACTCACCAAAGGGGCCAAAAATAACAAGGATTTCAGCCAACATAAATCACCAAAATGAGCCCAAATCGAGCCCAGCAAAGCGCCAAACCCAGTCCCAGTCTAGGGGAAAACCAAGCCCAACATAGGAACAAAACGAGCTCAGCCAAATGGGAGAACAGACAAAGAAAATATTTCCAGCATTTATGCATTTCAGAAGAACCAAAACTCAGCCCAATGCGGGGGAAATCAAGGGCTGTATTTTCAACATAAGCTCAACCCAAAAGAACCAAAACCGAGAGGCCCAGGGCCAGGAAAAACAACACAAGTCCACAAATTAAGTCCAAGAAGCTTCCAAAATTTCAATTTTTTCATTGAAGAAAACAAGATTGAAAGCAAACTTTCGCTGAAATAAATTTTAAAAGCTCCCAAAAAGACAATATCTCTTCCAGCATATTATTTGAAAAGAGGGGCAGCCACTGTAAGGAGCAAAACAGGACTCAAAGCAACCACAAAAAGTCCTAGAAACCAAACTTAAGCTATTTATGTATTCCAAAAGGATCCAAAACCGAGCCCAGCCTATGGACAAAGACAAAACCATAATTCCAGCTAACATCCAGTCCAACATAATCAAAATCGAAACCAAGGCAGGGGACAAAATCGAGCAGCATAGGGATGAAACCGAGCCCAAAACAAGGGGCAAAAACAGAGAAAATTTCCAGCATTTATTTCAATTAGTGATAGGTAACATGAAATAGATAAGCATGAATAGATTTTTTTTTTTTAAGAACCAACATTTTCCAACATTCATTTTGAACATGCGTAGTAATAATAAAGAGCTTTGACAATCCATTCTAACGTGCATTTCTAAAGGAGCAAATTTCATTTCAAAACTACCACTATGATACTTCCAAATATCTCAAGCAAGAAGAACAAAGGCAACTCATACATAATTTGTTTCAATATTTCCATGGACTATTTCTTACTAAAGTTTCAGAACAAGCTCCGATCTTTCTTCCACGTGCTCTAGAAGACATAGGAAATATTTGTATGCCATCCGAAATAGTGTAAAAATAGAGGGGAGGAGGATAATACCTCTTTTCAGCAGATTTAAGATAGAATTATAAGATAGTTTCAAGAGAACCATTTCAAGAGAAATATTCTTCCTAAAGACTCCAAGAAACGGCAACCACGAATGCTCCACACCACAAGCGCCCGAAAAGCTAGCTTAGAGAGTGTTCCGACAAAGAAAATAGCACTCCACGAACACTCCACACTCCAAGCGCACGAGAATCAGACTTGGAGAGAATTTTAGCAGAATTTTCTTCCCTAAAGGCCTCCCACAGTAAAAACATAGTCTCTCATTTCTCTCAAAAATTTTTCAAAAACCTAAAACAGTAAGCTAGGAAACCCATTTATAGGCAGAGAAGAGAGGGGAAAGAGCCACCAACTAACCTCACTAGCAAACGAATCACATGATGAGGTAGTAAATGCTACAGTAAAGAGGGAGACGGTAAAACCTCGAGGAGGAGAAGGGTCGGCCAGCTCGCCTCTTGCAATTGGAGAGCCAAAAAGTCGAGGGGGAGCTTGAGGAGGCAAGCTGTGTACGCGAATCGACAGAGGAAGAGTCGAGAAGGGGGAAAGAAGTCACCGCGTGGATCGCCCGCGGGAACTAGGGCACGCGAGGGGAACGGGATGAGCTCCGCGGGATCAAGCCACGGGATCGAGCCGGACGGGGGCTTAAGTGCGCGGTTGAGGGGTAAAATAGGAATTAAAATTATAATTTTAGTAATAAAATATATGAAATATTTAATTTTTTCTTAAAAATAACATTCAATTCACACTTTTTATTTGTGTGTCAAAACATAACAAAATTGGTGTTTATTTTAGGTAATTCTGACGTTCCGGACGCGCTGGCGCTGTCCGTTTTAACGCGCTGGACGTTCCGGACGCGCTGGCGCTGTCCGTTTTACCGTTTTTAACGAATTCATCGATTTGCATGCGATTTTGCTCGTGTCAGAAATATGACAATATGAGTCTTTTCCTACTAAAATTGGTGTCCTGAACGCGTTAGCGCGGTCTATTTCGTCGTCGGAGGTCGTCCAGAGAAGTTCGCATTTTTACCCATCCAGTAGGCTCAATTTAACTTCAATCTTGTGCAATTTAGTGAATTCTATGCATTTGGTGAGTGTATGTGACGACAAAGTCTTGACGAGGTTTTCCTATGACTTTAGATCCTATTGGAAATTTCTCTCTGAGTCTCCATACAATGGCCCTTAACCGCTTGTCCATAAGATGATGATTTTTAGACCATAAATGCTAGACATCACATGAAAATAGGAAGTGGCTGGAATTTCTAAAGGGTATGAGTCACAATTCTAGTTTTCTAAGATGGTCAATAGGAACTCCTAGAGCTAGATCTAAGAATTCTAAAGAATAATGACCTCAAAATCGAGGTCAACAACCCCTTGATGATGTTAGTGAGAGAACACTAATGTACTTGTGCACGTAAATGAAAAAAGATATTGATATTGATGCATCATAATTGACACAATTTTTAGACGGAGACTTCTGTGAAGGTTGTATAAATATGAAATAATATTGATATGATAATGATATAAACCACTTTAAATAAAATGTTAAATGTTTATATTAATTTATAAAAAAATTTAACTGACATGCATATTGTTCTTTATTTTTCTTGTATTGTTGTTGTTTAGAAGTATAAGTATTCACTGACTCGTTTAGCTCACACTTTTTTTAACTAGCTTTTCAGATTTAATTAAATTTTTAAAAAATGAGTGATAGACAAAAAGTATTTATAAAAGTCGCGCACAACCATCAACAAGATACTTTTAATTGTACCTTTTTAGTTTATTTTGTAGTGGCTCTTTCATTTGTTAAATTGTAGAAGAATATAGAACATTTAATTCACATCGTCCGATTGTTTGTACCCGCCTTAGTTATTTCCAAACACCGAGCCGAGTTGTGACATAAATAGGCTAATTATGTTTAGGATTATGTTTTATGCATGAGATTATTGTGGTGAGTCTTAACTTTAGGTTTTTGGAGAGATTTTTTACCTCTCAAATTTTAGGAATTGGGAGAGATTGTATTCTCTCGAATTGTAGGTACTTATTTTTTATATTTATGCGCGCTATTGATGTTTGATTGCTTTGATATGGTGTTTGAGAAATAAAATTCGTCTTTGCCCTGATTTTATGGAAGAGCGAGAGCGTTCCGATTTTAACTGTGAATCGTATCATCATTTCAGTAGGCTTTATGCATGTCCTCTATACTGCATCACTTGCATGAATACCTTTGTTGATTGCATAATGAGGGCTCATAAGCTTGCAAAGCTACTTTTTTATACAAAACGAAACATATAATTTATATAACATCATATTTTATGGTGATAAAGTAGATCACATAGACAATGTGATTTCTGATATGAGAGCTAATGTAACTGACAATTTGTGTATGATATGGCATAATATATCCATAAAAGCTAACTTTTGTGCTAGCATCGCTATTTGAAATGGTTTTGTTCATGGTAGTTTTTCATTTTCGTGGGAAACACAAGCTGCTTAAAGTTCTTTTTCTTTCCTATTCAAATCCAATTATGAATTCTTTTCTTAAAAGCTATTCTGTGAGTTCTTTGAAAAAAATAGTCTGCTTAGTGGACAATGTATGCTTATTCATGTATATACTAGTAGACATTTCTGAAATCATGTCCATTTAACCAATGCTTATTTTCCAAGGGTTTTAGAAAACTATACTCGTTACGTTGTTGACAAAGTTTTACTAATCTGATATTCCATCACTTAGGCATTGTAAGAAGTATAGATGCCAAGAAAGGGGTGCTTTATGTGATTACGCCGGTTTCATTATGCAAGCTGGAGGAGGTTGATATTCTTTTTCAAGGTTTTATTGAAATACCAACCAGTCTATTGCAGGTATTCCTTGTCCATGCAAGTTATTTATTTAATTGTTGATTGAGTAGGTTATGGAGAACCAATTGCTTGATTTGTGCAAATTTGTTTCACTATAAATTTTTTTCTAAGGATTAATTTATTGCTAGAAACCCTTGCCTAGCATGAACTTTTGCTTTAAGCCTCTTTTAAAGCGCAGCATGTTTGCTTCTGGTTTCATTCTCCTTAAATGGGCAGAGAAACAGTGCAATGGGATCTTTAATGAAATGCCTGAAATTCATATAGGTACTTTATGAGTTTTGGTTGAGTGAATGTCTTTAAAAATCTAAATTTATAAATTATTCTTTTTTATATTAAATAAATGTATAGAAAATTTAAATAGTTTTTGTTATTGTGGTATTATGAGTTTCCTATTTTAGTGTTATTTCCTTTTATATTCTTTTTTTATGTCGGTTCTTCTTTGAATTAATTTATCTTTGTTAAGTTGTAATGGTTGTAATTAAATTTGTCCTAGTCTTCCCTTATTATATAGGAAGAAAAGCTGTAATTTGATAATTAAGAAATATGATAATACGATTGTCTCCAACTTTCTTTATTATATCAGAGAAGTTACAAACCTTAGCTTTTCTTTTCTTGGTCGGATCACTTCGCAGCAGGCGCATAGATTGCTTTTGCACTATTCTTTGTCTGTCACAGATGCGCAGGTCGCTTCCTTCAGTTGCACAAATATGAGGCGCGATTCTCTTCGGTTGGATATGCGCTAGGCACGATTCTTGCCATCCACACAAGCACATAGATCGCTTCCATGATTCTTTCTGTTTGCACAGGAGTGCAGATCGCTTTCGCAATTCTTTTTGTGCGCTCCTGTGATTCTTTCCGTCTGCACAAGCGCGATCTTTCTTTCTGCAGTAGCAGCAGGAACTCATTCCACTCACTGGAACTTCTGCAAATAGTGGTCAGAATCCCTCAAGCCAGTGTTCGATCTACCCTGCAGCCTTTTTCCTTCCTGTTGCAGGCCCTCGGTTGTTTTCCTTGTCATCTTTTCTTCTAGCAAAAGTAGTCGATGCAGCAGCCACCAACCTTTCTTCCTACAGAAACTGCGACCAACTTTATACCTGTAACCAACTTTCGTCAGAATCCCTCAAGCCGGTTTCCGATCTACCCTGCAGCCTTTTTCCTTCCTGTTGCAGGCCCTCGGTTGTTCACCTTGTCATCTTTTCTTCTAGCAAAAGTGGTCGCTGCAGCAGCCACCGACCTTTCTTCCTACAGCAACTGCGACCAACTTTCTACCCATTTTGAGAAATCATATAAAATTTTTACTTAGTATGTACCTCAATTTTCTCTCGCGGATAAGACGATAGAAAAAACTCAGGAAAACTTAAATTATGGAGGTCTTCCTTGGAGTCTAAAAGCCTTCTTTGAGTAGAACTAAAACTGAATACATGGAATGTAATTTTTCTAGTAGTAGCTCTAGTGATAGAAATGTAACTATAGATGATCAAATTATTAAAAGGTGTGTACGCTTTAGGTATATCGGGTCTATTATTCAAAGTGATGGTGATATTGATGGGGATGTTATTAAAAGAATTCAAGCTGGTTGGTTGAAGTGGAGGAATGCTTCAGGCCTATTGTGTGATAGAAAATTTCCGCTTGGACAGAAAGGAAAATTTTATAAGATGGTGGTAAAACCTGTAATGCTATATGACATTGAATGTCGGCCTTTAGAAAAGAAGCATAAAACTAAGTTAAGTGTTGCCGAGATGAGAATGATTAGGTGGATGATTGGCTTTACACTTAGAGAAAAAATGTGAAAAATGTGAAATGAATGAAATGAATATATCCGTGATAGGGTTGGTGTAGCTCCAGTGACAGGACAATATTACAGAGAGTCGTCTTAGATGGTTTGGTCACATTAAGCGTCGACCATATGATGATCCGATTAGATGACTAGATGTCTTAGATTCGACTTATGTTATTATAGACAAAGGTAAACCTAGGATTACTTTGCCATATTGTATAAAAAATGATCTTAATTTATTAGAATTAAATGAAAATATGACACTAAATAGGACGCAATGGAGAAAAAGGATTCATGTAGCCAACCCCACTTAGCGGGATAATGGGTTTTTTATTTTTATTGTTTTATGTACCTTAATTTTCACACATCTCAGATTTCGAGCAAGTTAATTTTATAAAATTCTACGGATCAAATCAAGAACTTTAATATGAAATACTTTATATAAAATTATGAATAGATTGAAAGATATAAAAATTGAAAGTTATAAGTTTAATTAACCATCCCTAATCTCAGTTATTGTTCCTAACTGACCTCTCCCACTCGTTATATTTCACTCGATGGAGTTGAATGGGAAATCTCCATTTCAGAGCTTCGCATCTACTCTCCCCCTCCCAATTTCGCTGCAAGTGCCTCCCTCCCTCTTGGTCGCACTCGGTAAAAGCTCCTGTGAGAAGCTGCGATCGCAACAAAGCTCGCAGACAAGAACAAAAGGGACGAGCGACATATGGGAAGTCGCACGACGTACAGTAAGATGCGTTCCACTCCCTTTTCGCTCTCTCGATCCTTCTTTTCTCATTTACCCTCCTCCCTTGCGTTGATCTTCTACCCAAGGAGCCCGCGACTCCAGCTACAACGCTTGAGTTGGGATCAAGCTCAGATGCACGATTGTGTGCCTCCAACTAGGTTTCCGAGCTCTGGGTTGAAATGGGTGAGTACAAATTCATGCTTTTTGAGACTTTAATTTTTTTCCTTTTGCTTTCATTTTGAGTTTTACCTCATTTTTCATGCATTGTTCATTTTTGGGAGTCATTTGAGGTGCGAATTTGCATTGAAAGTGTTTAACGTGGCTTGCGAGTTTTTGCAAGGGATTCCGACACGAATTTAGGAAGGTTAAGATGGAGTAAGCAAAGTTAAGAAGAAGAGAAGAAAATTTGACAGTTTTAGAAGGGTTAGTTGCTGAAAAAGCTGTTGAAGGTATGTTTTAGCAAATTAGTTTTATTTCTGATTAAACTATATTGAGCCAAGATATCTTTACATTCGGAGTTAATTGTGGGTTTCAAGTTGTTTACCTGAGACGACAAGTTCGAGGCAAGCATGTAGAAGATCGTCGTAGTACGGCTCCATAAATTTTAGGTAACATAATTATATGTTGGTATAAGAAGGATGATTTAATTTATAGAAATCACTTAAATCTTAAAGTTTATTAGTATGTTTTATAGGTATTAAATTCAACATAAAAGTCACTGCCACCTCCACCTAGCTATCGGAGATTAAGATTTTTGCGTAGCAACTGAGATGAACAATTACATTTCTAAATTTAAGTAATTCTTTTTTATTTTCAAAATTTATGTTGATTTATATATATGCTTTACTTCAGTTAGATTTATATTGAAGTAGATTCTTCATATTATTAGATAGAAAAATTATGTATAACAAAAAAGATATAAAAGATGTGCATGAATGATATGAATGAGATGAACAATTAAATCTTAAAGTTTAATAGTATATTTTATAGGTTATTAAACTCAACATAAAAGTCACCGCCACCTCCAGCTAGCTATCGAAGATTAAGATTTTTGCGTAGCAACTGAGATGAACAATTACATTTCTAAATTTTAAGTCTTTTTTATTTCAAAATTTTTGTTGATTTATATATATGCATGAATGATAAAAAAAAATTTAGATATTGAAGTAGATTCCTTATATTATTAGATAGAAAAATTATGTATAGCAAAAAAAAAATATAAAAGATGTGCATGAATGATATGAATGAGATGCATGGGCTTGATTGGAAATATATGCATGTTATATGAGATAACATACTATGAGAGTTATGTATGATGAATAGTTGCATAACAGAGTATATGCATGTTAGTAGATGTATAAAGATATATCAGAATAATGTATGTTATGAAGAATGAAATAATTTATATATGAATGTTTGTATGTGCATATTCAGAGGATAATTTCACCCTCTAATGATATAGGCAGGGGATGTCAGTGTACCCGCACGTGTAAAGTTTTTTTACAACCCCGGACAATTAAGATGGTTAGTTCACTAACTGCTGTGTCGACGGGATAATATTGGTCAGATGCGAGTAGACCAGATCTTAGCTCTCCAGACAATTGTAATGTTTACATTAATAACCGCTGTATCAACGGGATAATATCAGTTAAAGACAGGTAAGGACCTTCCCACCCTAGACAATTGTGATATGTAGATTGCTAATCGCTGTGTCGACGGGGCAATATTGGACTGGATGTGTTAGGTTTTGTTGACAGTAATCCTCACAGACAAGTATGTATGTAAAGAGTATAAAGTAAAAACAAAGGTAAAGTAAATGCTTATAGAAGATTGAGTATTTTTTTTAGAAAAAGTCATTTGATGCATGCATTAATATATATCAGATTGTTTATAAAAATATGAAATACCAGCATTATATAAGATTTCTTATAGATCCACATGCATGTTGAATACTTTTTTTTATTACTGTAATTTAGAAATATGATTACTTATGGGTTATCTTTAGATAACTCATTATGTTATTTTAATAATATTTTTAGGTTTTAAATATTTGAACAAGATGAATAGAACATGAGCAAATGTATACAGTAGACAAGAACATCTAAAAAAGTACAAACTTTTACTTATTAATTTCTATTGTTTTCTTTAATGGTTCTTTCATAAATATTTTGATATTAAAGTATTAGTAATAGAATTAGAATAGCAGATTATATTTTTTATCATTTGTTTCCTTTTGGTTAATTCCAAGCCCGGGCTAGGCCACGACATTTAGCCCTTTCACCAAAAAACAACTAAAAATGTTGAAGAAACTTCTTTCAAGCACAACTGAGTGACCTACCAACTTGATGATACCAATGTATGTCGGCGTTTAAAAATGGGGGAGTTACGTTTGGGGGTCGCCCGTAAGAAGCTGTCGGTCGCCGGAATCGAAATCCCGTCACCCGCTTCGGAAGGACTTTTTAATTTACATATATATATATA